AGTCACCCCTGAATCAGCAGAAACAGGCAGATTAATCACAGACAGTGCTGCAGGTCTTTCTCTACAATACAGACTCTCCTAACACACAGAGACGACATTCATACAGAGCATCCCCTCTCTGAGAGACAGGGACACAAACAGGCCACAGAAATGACAACCAATCAAATACTGATGCTTCTTAACGTCAACCATTCATTTGTTCCTGTAGACAAAGATCCCCCAGACATACAGTAACAAAAGAAACAAATCTGTATTGTATGAATCAATGTAGCGTGAAATAAGGTACTTAACAGCACGGAATCTAAGATAAATCCCCAGCATCACATCTCTTGGGGCAGTCTGCAGAATAGCGTGGCTTTCCAAGTGTCACAGTTAGCTTGGAGGCACTAGCCTAGTTCATGGTTACAAAACCCTTAAATGGACATGTGAAGACATGGCACTTGGGCAAGACAGCTCTTTACCCGTGTCCCCTTTTTCTCCATTGTAGTGATTCTGTCTTTTGTGAAGTGAAAGTAATGTTTGGGCCCTGAAGCTCTATCGGCGAATGGGGCCGGATTGTAGAGGGTGTCCACAAGCATCAGCATCACAGGGCTCGGTGATAGACACCAACTCCTCCAGCACTCAGAGCCACGGCTAATGCTTAGACTTTACCCACAATCCAACATCACTACCCCTGGGGCATCGCCCGTTTCTTTCTCCCTCTCCTTTGATATTTCCCGTTTTCCTTTTTAAACTAGGGTTGTTGCGACTCAAACCACTAAAAGAAAAATCATGAATACGATAGAAACAACAAGACCCTTATTAAACCACAAATGGACAACCCAATCCCACTTTTCATTTGTACTTGCTTATCTGTGAAGGCATATTTGTTGCAAGAGTAAATGCTCTATATACGGTAATGAAAAAATAGATGCAATAATTTGAAGAAAGGGGCAGATTAAAGAAAATAAAGGAATAACTGATGGATGTGATCGCAATAATGAGTGAAAAGGGCTGAAATGGGGCCTGACAAGAATGACAAGTATGGTGAGAGTTGGTGTGTGTCTGCAAAAGTGACATCCAGGTGTGAGCATAGTCTTCCTCAGTTCCCCATTTACATTACACAAATAAACAAAATCTAGTCTCTCATTCGGGGCTGAATTCTGGTAGATACTAAGTTGCAATACAAGCAATTCAGGTAGCTGTTGAAATAATCCTCTTTGAACGCAGCGTCTCACCTAACTCGCATGGTATTGCAGCGGTGTTGCGGCATAGAGAATATAAAGCCACCCACCTTAGATTGTGGGAGTCTGGTCAATAACAACATCTATTTCCAGAGCCCTGTGTCGAATCGCATCACTGACAACTGTAATTTCAATGTTAGCATAATTCCAGGTTGGCAACAGGATAAATGACAACATAGCAATATGATGGACCACTTAATTAGTACTGGCATTTAAAACCATAATTCACATCAGATGGGGTAAAGACGCCCATTACAGGAGTAAGGGACTAACGGTAAGGACTAAGGAGTCAAAGTGCCACTGTTATGGATCAATACGTTTCTCCTTTCAAGATTTCAAAATGGAAAGGCTTTATCGTCATATGCACTACAGTTACAGTGCAGTTGTTTTCATTGAACACTTCATGCCAGGCTTCTCCAACAGTGGACGATATACAATATCAAATCAAGTTTTATTTATATACCACAATATACTTATGATATAAAGAAATACAAAAAGTGAAATAGTGCATCAAATTGAACTGTTGATTAATGAAGGTGTCTGTACGTGTTCTTGTGATGGCAGATGTAACCATGAAGATAACAGTCGGTGTACTTAAACGCCGTAAATAATTTTCCTTTCTTCTCAAATATATCCAAGTCTTGGACACATCATGTCACCAACGACCGTGATATTTTCAAATTATTTTTGAATGTGGCAAACACCCAGTCTCCACATAAGATCTTATACCAAGCTGTTGAAATCATTGTAAATCAATGATCCACTTTGCATCCAACTGCTTTTCACCTTTCCGCTGTGCATATGGAGGTCCTGCATCCATTATGTATAGAAACCATAACACAGCAAGATACATTTTTGCTTTCAAAACAAACGCAGGTCGTTGTTAGATCTTGAGCCAAGAAATATTTAAAATGCATCGGCTTGCTTTGACCTTAAAATGCTGTGACAAACATTTGTAATGAGGAGAAAGGCCTTCAGGCTACAACAAGTGAGCTAAATGTATAGTTCTCAATTATTGAGAGGATTTTGTCTCTGCTCCTGATTTGAATGTTAGGGAGAGAGCGCTTTTTTTATGATCTTGAAAATCCCATTATTTTAATTGATATCTAGCTTGAATTGTATGCTCTGTTCCATTTCATATGTGTTGATTCAATAATTGAAGAAATTGCCTATAACTTGAACTAGAGTAGAATTTCTGCAAGTCTGCAAAAGTTGCATTTTATTCTCTCAGTTTTGGCAAACATGTATAGATAATAATTATCCTTGGCATGCTGAGCAGGAGCCTGTGCACTTCTGATCAGAGCTTAGACTGAACTCTGGGTACTCATCTTAATGCAGAGCGAAGAGCAGCTGACACAGCTTCCCTAGTATCCGTGCTGACTACATGGAGTTGAAGCATACTGCATTATAAGGGCGGAATGCCAAATACAGCAGACGCATTCAGGCAGACCCAGCTGTCAGAACCCCTCCTTAAAGGATGCATACTACAGTAAGGCCCATTTCAACTCCAGTTCCACATTATCATCACTTAGCTATGACAAAATTAGTTTATTATTCAAATCATATCTTTTGATTAAAAAAATAACGATTTCAATTATAGATCTTATTTGATGTATAAATCCATTTTATGGATGCAGAATTGCAAATGTGTCTTTTCTTTCTGTTTCATTTTATTGTAATGGTCTCGTCAAAACCAACAATCTGAAGACATCATCATTGCCACAAAAAGGAGTGATCAACGTCGCCCAATCATTGACATTATCAACAGTTATGTAAGAGTCGTCAATGATAATAAATGAATGAATAACAAACTGTTAGATGCAACTCTTTTCATACAATGCACACATAACACACTTTTCCTCCAACAGGTTAACAATGAGGACAAAGTTGGACCAGCCTCCCTGGATGTACCTGAGCTACTATGGTACTCTGGACAGCCAGTTTGCTCCCACTAAAAGCTATTGTTTACTATTAGTGATGTCACTAGCACCAGTTCCCGGGAGGGCCTCAGGGGGGGGTGGGAAAAACGTGGAGATCAGCAGAACTCTATGACAAAGAGCTAGCAGCACACTAAACTGACCCATCGGCTGGCAGCCCAACCCCAATGGATGTTGGATGCATACTCCCACCACAGCCAACAGAGCGAAAACAAACTGCACAACACCACACATAGTGGAGGGACAGCCAGGGACGAGACATATAGATGGACTTAAGAAGAGAGGGAAAGACAGACAACACCATAAATCAATAAAGTCATTATCAAGCACTGTGGGAAGCATCCTCCAGAAACGGCTGCAGTCCAAAACATATTTTGTGCAGAGTAACAGAGTTTTCACACAATTCTAGTGTGGATTTTATGACAGTTTTTGAAAACAAAACAAATATATCAACCAATGATCCCTCCAAAGAGATCAACCAATGATCCCTCCAAATATATCAACCAATGATCCCTCCAAAGAGATCAACCAATGATCCCTCCAAAGATATCAACCCCCATACTTTGACTAAAGGGAAGATACTTATACTACCAATGTGTGTAACACAGCCTCAAGATTTCACATGCAGCATGCCTGCAGCAAATTGGAAATGACCAAATATGATGTATGATCTACTACACTGTCTCATAGCAACCTAACCCTGGGTGCTTCATGTTATCGGGAGGATCTCTGTGATTTATATGGCAATCACCCACAGTTTATATTTCAACACTGGTGTGATTCGAAAGCACTGATTTGTTCATGAAAGCACCCAGAGACATGATAGTTCCTCCAGTTGTCTAGACTCTAGTTAATACTGCCATTCACAGAATTAAGGTCATATTATAAAAAGAAAAATAGCTATACAATAGCATTTGGTGCCATCCTGGCAGTGGGGGAGGGGGGTCATATAAAATGGGGTTGGGCTTTTAGCCTCCAGCTCATGCCCTAGCCAGAAGGGTACCTCAAATCCCAACCTGTGCAATAAAGCTTCCCTCTGCTCTAAATCTACAACCACATTCCACTGCATTGGCCTGCTCTCCTTGCAGGTATGTGGGATTCAGGTGGGAAGGCTGGACGCAAAGCAACAGCTTCACTTTTGTTACACTGCGGCGTGCATCATGTGGAATAGAAACCTTGTTATTCTTACAGGTAGAACAAGATAGAGGGATACATTTTCTTGTAAAAATACATTGAGAGAATATTGACCATTTATATCATCATGAGTTATTATGGAATAGACTGGTCCTTCTATCATTTAGTGTGTTCTTTGTGCAAAATATATCCAATATTTTAGTGAAAATGGACAGATGCCTTATTAGACAGGGTGGGTAGATTGGGTTGTTGTGTAAATCCATAGATTGTTTTAATAGGTGTAGGAAAATCTTTAAAGGCTTAGAAGTAATAGGGATGTTAAAGGTGTACATGATCACAGACGATTACTCTCGGGCACACACACATTGGCAGGCCTTCTCAATCCTTGGACAAGTACTACTTTACAGAAAACCCCATTACCCATGCTGAGTTCCGCAGAGTTTCCATCAAGATCTAATGTCCTTCCTTAGTCATTAGATTGTATAACATAGTTATTACAGAGCACATCACCAGAAATAAGTGCTTTATTTGGGACCATGAAAAACATATTTTCATCAGACTGAGAGTTGTGTTACAGATAAATATCATCAAAACAAATCAATAAACTGTAACAGAATACCATGTGATATTACTGTGAAGATGCAGTGAGTGCATGTGGGGAGCAGAGAGGGCATTACAAGAGTATAAAGATGCGTGTAGACTGTACCTGTCAGTGAAGCTGGACTGTGTGTCACTCATTGGGCTTCCGGTTCTAGATTTGCAGCAAATTATATCCGATTAACATTTTCCAGAGTGTGATGAGGCGATTTCCTGGAGCGTCCTTCTCTTGCATTCGTGTGAAGTAGGCAAGGGTTTTCAGAATGGTGTTGATAATAGATGACTTGTAGGACACTGTTGGCTGTTTGCAAGGCACGTCCAAGCACTTGAGAAAACACAAATACTACCTAAACGTTATTTGTCAAAAAACTGAATAGCGAGGAATTACAGTGCAGACCTTAAAACATTAATCGGGGCCTCTGTCGTATTTGCTGTGCAGTCGGATGGTATCCTTCCTCGGCTAAAAACAATATTTTGGCCACAAGAATGAATATACTGCGTCAGTTGGCACAAGTTGTGCTGCATGTATAAACTCCTTGTATGAATTATGTGCATTCACATCCCAGTGTTCCGTCGATACGAAATGTGTAAACGATATGTATTCCAATATATCAGACCCCTTGGCCCTGCGGTGTAGTCAGTCTGCCACCACCCCAGCTCGGCTGAAGATTGGTTCCTAAATTATCTTTGAAGATGATGGAAATCCCTCCAGTCCCATTTGGTATTCCCTGCTCCAAGAAATGCCTGTCTGTGGCTGTTGGGAAGACTCTCCCGTGACCATGAGAATCGCTCAATACCGAGTTTAAACGACCCGTGTTACAAATTAGCAACAACTGCAGCTAATGTTACATCGGTGTTAAACGTTAGATTCAAAAATAAAATGTGTAGGGTGGTATATAGAACAAAAAACAGGATGGCTTTTTAAGAAAACTGTTTCTCACTGAAAGCTGGCTGGCGTTGAATCTCGCCAGCTACCAGCTAACAAAACAGATGAGCTCTTTCAGCAAAAAAAACTTTGCCTCGTACGCTCTTGTTTCGAGTGCAAACTAAGCAAACTCCCGTTCACAACAATGAGCCGGCTAACGACCGAAAACTATATATAAACAGCACGGCATGAATATTTACTGGTTGCGAAATGTCTCTGTATTGTGTCCTTCAAAAAGTCTCCTTGAGCAAAGAAAGTCCAGTGAAGTCGGTTAGCACATCGCAGCGGTCCTTGACTCCATGTTTCCAGAATTCAGTCGTTTCTCGGCAGAATTCCCGTGGATGGAAGAAGGCTAGCTATGTGGCCAGCTAACGGGACATAAAGTCACACCAGTCCTTCGTAAACAACGACAAAAACCCACCGAGGCGGTTAAAACTTTCAGCGAACATCAAACGCTGCTTTTTCCAACGCAAGGGGTTATTTGTAAAAGATAATAACTTTTGCAAAGGTACCAAAAATCCCACTTTCTGCCGCTAGCAACGCCCTAGCCAGCTAGCTGTTGGAGTCCAGTAGTGCTTCACTAACCACTTCCGCCGGGAGATGGGAAAACTCATTTTGTTCAGCATAATGTTGGGGAAGACTGCTGAAAGACAACACGAACATAACACAACACTAACTATGATGCCACTACTTATACCGTTATAACTACACTTGGTAGTAGTAATAGTATTATAGTATTCATTTATTTGTATTTGATTTGTATAGTAGTGAATATTAGATTATGGGAAGAAGAAGGAAGAAAAATGTAGCCTATGTGACCTTCTTTGGAACTGCACCACCAAGTCGATGACAAAAAACACAATTAGAAAAAAATAACAATTTAATAATTCTCAACGGTTTTTTTATAGAGAAATGTTGATTATTTTATAGACCAATAATTACTGACTAGTTATGCCATCTGTATGTAATATTCATTACAATTGTATTTGTGTATTAAACACTGCACCTTAATTGTATATGCTCCAAAATATGCACATTATCTAAAGAAATGTATTTATATGTATAAATCATGTATTTACATTACTACAACACTATTTATGTATGTAACCTCATGCACTTTACTACTCTTTGCACTTTCTAGTTGGATGCAAACTGCATTTCGTTTTACTCTGTGCAAGGACAATAGAGTTGAACTAATCCAAATACAGCTATCCATTAAACTGGTACATTTGTTAAATATAAAAAACGCACTGAGGGAGAGGGAAATAGATTATATTTCTATTATTCAATACAATGATAAATTGATAGACCCGTTACAGTCCCGGTTGTCTTTTTCTTTCTTTTTTTTGCTTTTCCATGGCAACAAAAAAGAAGATACTTTTTCCTTTGGTGGTTGATTCTCTTGATGATTATATGTGTTGTTGTATTTTTTCAAGGTTTTCATGACTCTGTCTGCATGTGGTTGTTGTGGGACAGGGAGAACAGTCATTATGTTCATTATTTACAGCTTACAGCCCAGTCCTTTGTCCATCATCAACAAGAAGGCACTGCTATTCTGATGAAAGTGTCTTCATTCATCCAGATAGAAAGCTTGTCAACTGGCAAACTACTGCAGAGCATTTCAAGACCAAGATCCATATTCATTGCAATCAATATTAGTTGATGTAATTTGCATTCATACAATTGTTTAACTTACTTTAAATGTGCATTTTTGTTATTTTACTCAAGCTGAGAAAAGGTGCATTTAAGAACACCATGTTGTCAATGTTATGAAGGATATGTGTTTATTGTGGGTTTTCAGAATAAATTATTTGTACTACCGCAATGAAACTGTCCAAATCCTCTTTACCTTAAAACAGCCGCTGTTGTGAGTGAAACATGTTCAGTTGTAGTCTACTTCTCTACCTTCTCTTGATCTGTTATTTGTTTTGTGTGACCCATTGAAATACATATATGAGCTAGTGCACTGGCTACAAATATATTCACTTTGTTTTGAATTGCTATGCTTTTTAAAATTATTATTGTTTCTGGCAACTGACACTTTACCGTATCATTTTACAATAAGCACTTCACTGTGTATTACATATTACAGTATCATACACCGTATTTTAGTTTGCTTTAGGCTTGATATATTTAATACACAGAGATTTAAAACAGTTGAATTTATGCAAAAAATGTAAACTAGAAAATGATGACAAAGTAGTATTTGACACTTTTCTCCTGCATGTCAGAACGACTGATCATCATGTCTCCTGATCATCATTCTTCATATACCATTGATATGACACCACCATGTGGACAGTTCAGGTAACTGCAGTCTCAGTCCAAACATACATTTAAGTACCTGTGGCATACATGAACAAATGCAGCTGGTCCTTCAATTATAGTTGAAATGTTTTTGTTTACATTTTATTTCAAGGCATACAAACAGTCCGTCACATTTGTATATCCGACTTCACAAAGGCAAATCATTTAACCCCAAACTCAAAATGGTCCTTCATTACTGCTATGTAGATTTTGGAGGGTTACATGTGCAGCATAGAACAAACAGTAACACACATTTAGAAAGGTATAGATAACTAAGGCACACACCAGTTAGATTTTTTGTTTCTTTGATAGAATGGTGATGCTCACATGATTCTGCCACAAAAACAGCAAATCTCAATAAAACATAAAGAGAACAAATAAATAAATGGCAAGCCTTTTAGCACACTACTGCAGAAATCCATGTGCACTGATAATAATGATGATAATCATATACAAATATGGTCATAATAATAAGAAAACAGATCCAAGCTCAAAGATAAAACCTGGTAGTTTGGTAGCTTTATCGGCATGGAGCAAATGCAGTCATGGAGTAAGATACATCGTATCCCATAATGCACTTGTGTGTTCTTTGACAATATAATATCACAATCACTATTGAGATGAATATTTTTCTGATAATTACCATCACAGTATAGCAATCATCATATCACATTAAATAAACATGAAATACTTAAACTCATAACTCTCCAAACAGGTAGTAGGTAAAATAAATACTTTTTGATGTGTTAAGAGTGAGTGGAACAGAACTTTGCAAAAAATAACCTGATATGAGAAATTCATCTCGATATGATTTTGCACGCTCTACAGATAGCTAACTATACATTTAATTGAATTGTCTTGTCTAACAAGATCTCTGAGACTGAAATGTGACTCCACAAAATGAAATTAACTGAGAGCTATCAGAACAGACAACGTATCCTTTGTAATCGCACCTCAAATAACGACCAACCATTTCCACATATTCAAAGTCAACATAAATATCCAAATGGACTGCAAAACAATAGCATTACCAGCGCAGAGTTCTATTTATGAGAAGGGTCTCTTGATTTATCCGTGGAAAGTTAAATAAATGTTTTATGGGCAGGATCTTGAACCAAGATTTTAGAAAGCAGGAAAAGGGTAAAGTTGTTGCTATAAACTAAGTAATCAAACATATCACATACATTTATCTAGAATCCATCCCACTCTTCATCTCCCTGAGTACACCTTTCACATCTGCTCGCAGTTTCCCATATGCCAAAAAACCTATTGAAATTATGAAAAATGTTTCACAAAGAGGAAAGGCATAACATGTAAACTGTCTCTTTCCTAACATTGCGCTTTCTTTTGCAAGCAATTCCACAACATATTACTAGGGCACGGTTCATTGCAACTGAAAGCAACATCTGTTCATGTGTTTGCAGAAAGTGCTTTAGTTTTCAGTGTCTTAATCTACATCCGTGTTGTTTCTTAACTGCACATTTTACACAACAATCAAAAATGTGTTCGGCTGAATTAGCTGGATAAAAGTCCAGAAAATGTTAGACCTCACAGAAAGATGTCAAAGGAGGGTTCTCGATTTGAATGATCCATTTTGAAATGTCAGTTTTACATACAAAAAGTTGATTTTCTTTGTAATTTCCCTTGGTAATGGTAAAAAAACAGACTGACTTTGGAAAGCCAATCAGTCATTCTTTCCTTCATGACCATTAGCTGCCACTGTTTCTTGTTGGTCTCTCCTCTGTTTTCGCCAGCTCTTGCTCTTCTTTATGCAAAATCGAACAATGTCCACCATGAACACCCAGGACAGAGCATACATAGCCACTCCTCCACACTTGATAAAGAATCTTGGGTTGGGTGAGATCAGCTCACAGTACAGCATTGTGCCTCCCACGAACACTCGCATCACCACAAACAGCAGCACGAACAGGACGTCCACAATGTCCCCCAGCCGTGTCCCGTAATGTCCTGTCTGTTTGATGAACCAGCGTGCCTGCAGGAGGGGGTTAGTGATTTCACTGCCAAAGAGCACCGCGCAGGCTTCGATGCCAGACTCCCCCAACCACAAGGTCAACAGGATTCCCAGGATGCTCATGGTGTGGTGGGCCAACATAACGGGGCCCTCTGTGCGGAAGTACACACACCAGGCCATGTCGAAAATAAAGTAGCCGAGGCTCACCAACATGGCACTTATTTGCAGAGGACTGTTCTTAGTACCTAGCAACAGAAAAATAGTTTTTAGTTAGCATGTATTTTAAATACCAGTCATAGAATACAGAAGTAATAACTGAGACAGGAGCACATCATTATCAATATCAACATGTAGCATCAAAACTTTTGATAATATACTTTGTAAAATACCCCAAAAAGACAGGAGAGGTACAATTATTTGGTCATTGCTGAATGGTTTACTCCCACTTTGAATGTGTTTTCCTTTTGGTAGTTTAAATAAAAGTCTGCATGATAATATCTGTATCAAAAACCATTTTCCACAACATGCTTAGCATTATAGAGATGAAACAATTAGGCAATCAATACATAACTGTATATGCAACCATTTTAATAAGTCATTTAGTCACTTTTCAAGCAAAAGGGTTGATAATTTGAATCCTAAGTAGTAGGTGTCCTACCTGGATTAGTGAAAGGCCAGGGTCCATCGACATAGCCTATGTATCCTGTGATGCAGACTGCCAGGATGCCATGTACCAGGGTGACGAGGCGACAGTTCCACTCGTAGCTCCTGGACCCGTTGACGTTGCACAAGATAAAGTAGAGAGATACCCAACAAGACAGGCACAGGAGCGTACCAACCACAACCAGTGACATCTTCTCCACTACAGAAAAAATAAACAAGTTTAAAAACACTAAACCCACTTGCAGTTTCTCCAAAGACCTGCCTCTCAGCCGTCATCAAGCCAGTTTTGTATCAGAAAGAGAAAAAAGCAAACAGGCACATATTGTGCAGTTATATCGCTCACAGTAAAAAGAGACAGCATTACCGTCCAGAGACTTGGACTGTGCAATCCTTTGTCAAGGACCAACAATTAGCCTTTGCTTGAACTATAATAGCACCACAGTTGGATGGCATTGGGTCCAGTGGGGTGAGGGGGACGTCTCTTCTTCTGCTGTGACGTTTGTACTAGGAGGTGAGCCCATTCACAGAGTCAGGCCCACCTTAACTGGGGTGGAACAACACTTGAATCTCAAAGAATAAACAAAGTATTTTTTTTAATTAGACAAGAGGTTACTGGGTAATGGGCCTCAGACAATCTCAT